GACTTCAACTCCCAGAATTCCCCAGCCAGCATTCGCTGGCTGGGGAATTCTGGGAGTTGAAGTCCGGACATCTTCAAGTTGCCAAGGTTGAGAAACACTGATCTAAAGGAAGTTTTAACACTAGATAAGGATTACATTTTTGTAATCTTCTGAATGATTAGAAGTAACTAATGCTCAGTTTCCCCTTTGATGCTCTGCCCCCCTGGTGAAGCCCCCATGTTATATCGCTCCCAATTTTAACCCCCATCCCATCTCAGGAAAAGATATCTCTATTTATACCTCTCTATTCAACACTGCCCCAACAGCTTGGCTTTTCACCAATGGCAAAGATCCACGAGTACAAAAAAAACACACACCAAACCGGATATTGAGAATAGATGGTGCCCAAATTGAAATATTTTCCTTTCCTTTCCTTTCCAGCACAGTTGGCATGTATGTTTTACAAAGCAATCATGTTTGAGTGAAGGGTCTGGGACACCAATTGTTGAAAGGACCTGCAAGTAGATTTTTCTAAGGGCAAGACATCTTTTTTATTTCATGCAGCTGGTTCGAGTCGGACCTGGCACAACAATCGAATGCGAAAGGCCAGGGAAAACAGGAAATGAGCCATTCCCACAAGAATGGGAGAGCCTCCAAATCAACCACCTTTTAAAAGCTTGGGGGCTTGAAGAAGCAACCGGAATAGCCACGTCTTAGCCTCGTTTGCTCGTCCGAATGGGTTTTTGACTTATCCAAGCCTGGCTCGAGGCACTTGGGAAGGGCTAATGCAGGGACCACCGACCCCCACCAGATTTCAAGCCGCGGTTGGGTTGGGTTTCACACGGCAACAGAAGCCAGCCTCGCTCGGCAAAGCGTGAAGCGAAGACCCCCCGAAATGCCCCCAAGGCTGCCCAACCAGCCGCAGGGGTGCCCGGGGGGGGGTTTCTCCCAGCAGAGGCGGCACTGCCCGGGAAGTAACGAGGCTCTCGAGCCTTTGGGAGCAGCAGAAGCTGCGGAGGCACGGGGCGTTGGGCTTGGCTCCAAGCAGGCAGGAGGCGCCTTGGAGAGGGCGCAGCCCGATCCTATCAAGGCTCCCGATCCCGGAGGAGATCGCCTCTCGAGTCGCAGTTGCGGATCCCCCAAATCGGGAGGGGAAGGTCCGGAGGCCCGCGGAAGCAAAAAACGGGGACCCGTCTCGCTACTCCGCGGAGCCCCACGAGCGAGCCGGACCCACGTCCACCTCCCTCCCTCCCCGCGACCCCTTTGCGGAGAGGAGCAGCCGCCGCCGCCGCCGCGTTGTCCCTGGCTCCGCCCCTTCCCCCGACTGCCAATCATCCTTCCCCCCCAACAAGGCCCTGGGAGCGCCGCCCGGGCTCCCCGCCCTGCCTGCCGCAGCGCGTCTCCCCGCCCCCTATGCAAATCTCGGCATAATCGGCAGCCAACGGGAGGCCGGCCGAGGTCACGTGCGCGCCCTCGCCCCGCCCCCAAGGGGCGGCGGCGGCGGCGGCCGAAGCCAGGGAGCGAGCGAGCCGAAGTTGGGAGCCGCTCAGTGACTCCCGGCGGCCGGAGCGGAGGGTCGCCCAGGCGGGAGCGCTGGCAGGGGCGGGCAGGGGAGGCCGGCCGGAGCAAGGAGCGGGCAGCGCGTCGGAGGAAAAAGAAGAAGAGGAGGAGGGGGAGGGGGAGGAGGCGAGGCGTCTTGCCCCTCCGTCACCGGGGCGCCTTCGCCCTCGGCCGCCGCCGCCGCCGCCGGGCTCTCGCGGACCATGCCGATCCTCCTTTTCCTCATAGACACGTCCGCCTCCATGAACCAGCGGGCGTATCTGGGCACCAGCTACCTGGACGTGGCCAAGGGCGCCGTCGAGCTCTTCATGAAGGTGGGGCCCGGGCCTGCCTGCCTGCCTGACGCGCGTCCCGCCAAGCACGTTCACACGTTCACACCGACCCCCCCCTCCTCCTCAACGCGTGTCGGGCCCCCATCAGAGCGCCCCCCTCCTCATCTCACTCTCTTTTCTCTCTCTCTCCCCCCCCCCCCGCAGCTGAGGGCCCGAGACCCGGCCAGCCGCGGCGACAGGTACATGCTGGTCACCTTCGACGAGGCGCCTTATTGCATCAAGGTAAGC